GCGCGTGTCCGTAATAATGCGCACAGAGGATTGTGGGACAGAGTCTTTTATTTGCTGGCATTCTTGACTTTTGACTGCAGTTCTTTTTTTATATTTTAGAGTAAATGCTTCTGATATGCTCTTAGGTTGCTTAATCCGTCTGAAATTCTGGACTGTGGTCATATTTTTCGATTAGGAGTCGTATATTTAAATTACTCACTGTGACTAGTGTTTTGCATTATGAAGTATATTGTTATGAAGGTCAACACACTGCAATTTAGGTAAATATTTACCATTTCGTTATTTCATTATTTCGCTTTCCAGCATTTCCGGGAAACGCTTCATTCTAAAAAATGCTATCGCAAAACGCTTGGAAATAATAAATGTAACAGCAGAATACGTCCTAGCACAGTCACTCTACTAGGAGAGAGTAACTGTGGTCCTAGTACTAAACTAAGTCACTTCTAAAGACTGAATGGTGTTTGCGAACTTCGTATTAGTTATAAACCGACGTCAGCTTCACGTTTATGTCACCATGGAAACAGCCAAAAAACATGTTGCTTGTTTTTGAGCGGAGCGGATCGCCAACCAGCCTACCGGCTTGTTGTCTTACCTGTCTTTCTCGATTTAGTTGAAATATCAAACAATATGCTTCAGATTTATCTCGAATGATTATGCATAGTTGAGAGCGCGTTTCATTATGCATAGTTGTCTTATCAGCTGCAAATTAATAAATATTGTATTCACTGACATTTATTGACTCCCATGTGCGAAGCACAAAAAGGGAGTCTTTGCAGTTAGTGTGTCTGTGTGTGTATGGGTGTGTGTGTGTGTGTGTGTGTGTGTGTGTGTGTGTATGTGTGTCCGACTGTTCCACTGCTATCTCAAGAACCATACATCGGTTTTTAATGAAACTTGGTGCATAGATGCTCTAGGCCAATGCGCAGATTTGATTAGGTTTTGGTGAAAATCCATGCTCGTTAATTACCTAATTTGCATGATAATTAGCTAATTTTTAGCTGTTCCATGATTGTTCCGCTGATATCTAAACAACCACTCATTGGATTTTGATGAAACTTGGTACATAGATGCTCTGAACATATGCGCAGATTTGATTAGTTTTTGGTAAAAATCCGTGCATATTAATTACCTAATTTGCATGATAATTAGCTGATTTTTAGCTGTTCCATGATTGTTCCACTGATATCTAAACAACCACTCATTGGATTTTGATGAAACTTTGTACATACATGCTCTGAACTAATGCTAGGTTTTGATTAGT